ATTAGTTATTACTGATAAAAATCTGTCCTCACGACTCTAACTAGGGTCCAATTCTGTTTTTCTTTGATAATAATACACAGTGGAAGATTAAAAAATAAATAAAAACAAGATGAAACAAAAACAAATAAAACAGAGGCTATAAAGCAAAACAGAAAACAAAGAAACAAGAAGGATTAAAAATATAAACAGACATGACTAAAATTAGACATAGCTAATTAAAATAATTTCTAATGTCAGAATAAACTATTAAAAAAGTATTAAATGGGGCAAAGAGAGTCACTTTATAATGACAAAGACACAATTCACAGTACAGTTATTAGTAATATGAATCTTCATGTACCAAATAATAAAGCATTAAAATAATACATATGGGCTTTCTTGTCTTTTTCTGGTGTTCAAGATGTTGAAGAGAGGATGTGGTGCATCCTCCAGAGCGAAATTCCCGATTTCCCTGGGTCTTCCAGTAGGAGCCGTGATCAACTGTGCTGACAACACAGGAACCAAAAACCTATTGATCATCTCTGGGAAGGGAATGAAGGGACAGTTGAACAGGCTTCCTGCTGCTGGCGCGGGTGACATGGTGATGGCCAGAGTCAAGAAAGGCAAACCAGAGTCAGGACTGTTGTATCCAGCAGTGATAATTCGACAACGGAAGTCATACCAAAGAAAAGATAGTGCGTTTCTTTATTTTGAAGATACTGCAGGGGTCAGAGTAAACAATAAAGGTGAAATGAAAGGTTCTGCCATTACAGGACCAGTTGCAAAGGAGTGTACAGACTTGTGACCCAGACTTGCATCGGATGCTTGCCGCATTGTATGATTCACCCTTGCTTCTGTAAAACAAAAACAACAACAAAAACCCGAAGCATTAGAAACTATTTGTTCCCAATGCATGTCATTCTAGTCCATTGTCTTTTAAATTTAGACTGCTGAGTGAAAACTTTCTGAGGCTTCTGTAATAAAAAAAAAAAAAAAATGGGGACAAACAAACAAAAATACATATGGGACCAGCAGATGGAATAGTGGTCACATCACTGGACTCCCACATGGCCGACCATGGTTGAAGTCCTGGACCCAACAGCTTAAAATTCACTCCAAACTTGTGTGAGTGCATGCCCAAAATCCGAGAAGAGAGTGGAGGAGAAGGAACTGCGGTGTGGCCATCCCCCGCCTTCCCCCAGGGGTGACTTCTTTCTTTCTGTACCTCTGTCTCTCTTTGGCACTGGCATAAAAACCTCTCTAAAAAAAATAATAATACATAAAGCAAAACTTCCAGAAATAAGAAGAAAATATTAAGAAAATGCTAGGCAAGCCAGCAGGTGGCATAGTGATTAAAGTGTTGGACTCCCACACGGCTGACCCTGGTTTGAGTCCTGGACCTGGAAACTTGCTTTCTTACTTTCCCTCTCTCTTTCTCTATCTCTCTCTGGTGAGCATATATATGTATTTGCTCTATAGCAAATTTAAAATAGTGATAATAAATAAAATAAAATGAATAATGCTTGGGGCCAGCAGGTGGCAGAGTGGTTAAAGTGCTGGACTCCCACGTGACCTATCACAGTTTGAGTCCCAGAACCAGTAACTTAAAACTCACACTGGCATGTGTGCAAGAAAACATTAACCAATTTTTTTTGATGCCTGAAAAAAATCAAGAAAAGAAAAAAATATATATGGGCATAGAGGATGTGAGAACATAATCAAAAATATTGATGTAATACTATCTGCTACATAATAGATGCTCAGTAAAACTTTACTTGTTATTTAAGGTAAAAAATTGGGCTCTACAAAGAATAAAAGACTAATATGTTATTTGTCCAACATTTACAAAAAGAAATCATAGGCACAGGATAAAAACTTAGACATATACCATTTAACAGTGCTTAATTTACAAAGAGTTTATTATGGATTTTCACTTCATATTATTAATTTTTATCACACATTTAATTTTAACAATAAGTAAATATGATTTTTAAATGACCTACCTTCATATCTCCTTAGGATTTTCCTATTTCTAAATTATTCCATTTTCTTCCTTTCCTACAGAAAGGACAGTACTACTTTCCTTCTAAGGATAAGAAATTCATACTTCCATCTCTAGGGCGTTATTATGTAAAACATTGATAATTACATCAATTATATCTTTTGTTCTGAGTTTTCATATTTCTGCTTTACTTAGCCCTTCAAACATATTGTCTCTTGTCCTTAATCCTACAGCATCCTTTACATTAGGGGCCCAACTTCTTCCTGCTCTTCTTCCCGCTCTTCTTCGCTAACATTCACTATGTGCTAAAATTCCTCCATTTCCACAATTCCAGTCTACCTTGGTCTAGACATAGAGTACCTTGTTCAATCACCATTGTTTATGGGCCTTTGTACTTGGAGTAATTAGCATCTTGGCCCAGTCTTCGACTCCCTCCAAAGGACTAAGTCCATCAAAGAGATCAAGGACAGAAAGAGGGAGGTCTGTGTACACTGACCAACCAGGCAGGGGTCATGAATGAGCACTGGCCCTGGGAATGATTCCTCTCTCCAGGCCTTCAACAATTCCTTAACATAGATCAACAATCCACCTGATTCTCAGACTTCCTTACCTCCTCCACAGTCAGGGAACCCAAACATTTCTCCTTAATCCGTACACTCAAGGTTTCCCAACCATTGTATTTCTTCACTCCTCGGGGACTGATCTCATTTTATCCTTTCTCTCTGTTTATATCACTCACCAAAAGATGTCACAGATTCCTAGGTCATTCCCAAAGTCTCATTCTCACAAGGCCCCAGTCATCTTTTAGTCTTTCTTCATCTTCCACCCCTTCCTAATCCCTGAAACTCTTCCACTGTACTCTCAGAAAGTCTTGATTCCTGTCCCACATCCAATCCACCATTTTTTCATTGCTACCACTCCAGTTCATGCCACTGTGATTTCTCATCTGGCTTACAACAAGAGCTTCTTGTCTATTCTTCTACGTTCCTCCCTATACTCTATCCTCGATAGAGCAGCCTTTAAAAATATGATCAGCCGTGTTCCTCCTATGCTCAAAACTCTCCAGCAGCTTGCCATTTCATTCAAAGTGAAGGCCTTAGTGTCTGCAATGCCTATAAGCCCTGTATCACCTGTCCAGGCCTAGTGGTCATCCTCAGTCCTCCCAGTCACCCGTCCAGTCACACTGCCGTCTTTGCTATGTCTTCTTTCAGAATCTACATGGCTATTCTCTTACCAACTCTTTCCTTGAGTGTCATTTTCTAGATAAGGTTTAATGCCAATCACTGTTTTTAACATTTCAACCCACACCCCAAGTGCCATTCTCCTGACTTTATTTTTCATTATACTTATTACTTTCTAATATACTATAAAAATTACTTAATAGTTTATGTTTATTATTTATCTGCCTCCCTTACACTCTCATTAGGATATAAGTTCCAGAAGGACAATAACGTTTCCTGTTTTATATAGTGATATATTTCAAGTACCTAGAATGAGTAAGCACTCGAGCGATATTCATTGTCTGAGTAAATGATTCTCAACTATGTCAAATCTAGTGCCTCTTTTCATAACAAATATGTGTAATATCCTCTTTACTATTGCGAAGTGAAAGCCATAGGCTACCTACACATGTAATTTTAAAAAATTAAAGCAATGCCTTAACTGTAATATAAATGATAAAGTGAAGAAAGTAATTTACAATAAAATAATGTGTGACAGAATGGAACTAGCTAGCTAAGGCATCCTTTAAAAGGACACAAGCGAGTACTCAGATACTTGCATCTATCTGTGGTATCTGTGGAGCTGCCATGAAATGGAGAGTCGCAAAATGAAATGCATTGGCGGTTCAAATTCCATGAGCGATATTGCCATGCAATTTACTGCTTCCCAGGAAAATTCAGCATGTCTTAAAACCATGTGAAAAACACTTTATGTTTATATGTGAAGTAGATTTTAGGCTGAGATTTATAAACAGGTTTTTAATCCACATGAATGAACAGTGGGAGGGTACAGAATTCTTTGCCGTTGGGCAAGGGAAGAGGGCTGGTATCTTTGGTCCCATCAACCAGATTCTCTGGGACAAGGAAAATCATTCTGGTAAATTTCAAAAATAATCTTTCAAGGCAGTTCTACCTCAATAGAGATTTTCCCCTAAATTTATTTATTTCTTCCATGACTGAGAGAAAAAGAGGAAGAGAAAGAGAGAGAGAAGGAGAAAGAGAAAGAGAGACAGACACCTCCCAACAAGATCTTCTTCTGCAAACCACCCTCAGCCTCAGGCAGCCTGAACCATGGGCAGCATGTGCACACCTGACCTGAAAGGGAGGCCTTGGAATGTGTGTGAACCTAAAACAACTCCAGTTGGGTCTGGTTGTTACCACTGTGTTACCACTGCCCCATTATGAGACTCCATCAAAATAGACTCTTAATCTATAAAACCAGTGGCCTCTTCTTTGTTCTGACTACCTCTGTCTGGCATCTGCCTTGCTAATAAGCTCCTCTATGTCTTTCCATCCTCCTTTGGCCTCCACATCACTGTACCCCTGTGGCTTCTCCTTCACCAGCTCCTGATTGGTGTCACATCTGACTCCTCACCTCTCCCAGCCCACCCCTGCTGCCCTTCCTTTTTCTTTCCCACACTCCCTTCAACTACCTCTCCCAAGTAACTGATTCTCAAAGTTCCATTTCTATGCATAATAACCAAGTCCATATTTCCAGTTGCCACTTGGTCATTCACATGCAGAAAGCCTCAACTGATTAATGTCCAAAATCAAATTAGTCATCTCCCTCTAAACCTGTTATTCCATCAGTTGTACCTATTTATGAGAATGGCAACGTCATCCACTTACTCAGTCTAGAAATGACAACTGTCTTTGACCCCTATTTCTCATTACCCAGTTCATTGACTACTTCATTTTCTCTTCAAAGTGTTTCCTATCTGCTTCTTTCCTATCACCAATAATCCAAGCTGTCATTACCTGCAGCTTAGAGTAGTGTCACAGCCTCCTAACTGGAACTTCCACTTCAATTTATCTTTTGATAATTCCACAAAAGGAGTCTCAGCACATCATAATAGTAGCTAACATTAACTGAATGTTTATTATATGCCAGGCAGTATACTAAGGGCTTCTCGTCTCTTAACCTGCACACCTCATCATAAGCTAGAAACTATTGTCACCTAGAATTTAAAGATGAAACAAAAGAGTTTACGGTTGTTACATAATTTACCTAAGGTCACAGAGCTAGTTCAGAAATGACACCAAAATTGGGACCAGCAGTTAGCGTAATGGCTATGTCGCTGGACTCCCATGTAGTCGACCACGGTTCGAGCCCCAGACCCGGTGGCTTAAACTCACGCCAGGCGGGTGTGCGTACGTGCCCAAGATCCCGAGAGGAGAATGGAGGAGAAGGGATTGTGGTATGGCCATCCCCCCTGGGGGGTGATTTCCTGCTTTCTGTCTCTCTGTCTCTGTCTGTCTGGCGAGTGCACGCACCCTATAGCAAAAAACCTCTCCAAAAAAAAAAAAAAAGAAGAAGAAGAAAAGAAAAGAAATGACACCAAAATTCCCAGTGGATCTGACTTTTTAAATTCCTAGGTTCCTCTCTCTCTTTTTCTCTTCTCCATTCTGTCTCTTTCTTGATACAACTTTTTCATGTTGCCTCTAGTCTGATCTCAATCTTCTGTTCAGACTTTGCCTCCATGCTACCTGCCTTCCTCTTCCCCTTCCTTTCTTCTAGTCTGTATGTTCTTTTGATTTTGCTTATCTCCTTATTTAATAAGGATGCACTTATCGGCCATTTCACGAAAGTCACTCACAGCAGGTCTTTCACTGTGTCCACCACACCTGAACCCAGCCCTCCTTCTCTCTTCCCAATTGCTCAGAGAAAGGCTGTTGAAGGAATTGGTTAGGGCCAGGTGGCTCCAACTTCCTCAAGTGCGTATACACAAAACTCCTCCCATCTTTAGTTGTTTTCTGCCTAAATCCCAGGGTTGCTTTGTGACTCTACTAATCAACCAATTAAGTAAAGAGTGCTTTGTAGAGAGCGTCCTACACGTGTAAACTGCAATTACTCTTCTCCCTCTGCATCTGCGGGGCTTCAACCAAATTATTTTGTGAACAACAGACTAGGCGTTTGGAGGGAAGAGTGCCATCTGTGTGTTCGAGGTCACGGGGGAGTAGAGCCCTAAATTATAAGGCTTCAGCTCGGGAAATCTCTATTCACCATCACAGCCAAAGTTCAGCCTAAAACTTCCTCAGGGCGGTCCTGAGCCGGTCAGTCAGGAAGAAAATGTTGTTAACCTGAAAATCTCTACATTAAACATCTCTCTAGGAGGTTCGCCTCCCCCCAGCTCCCTGGAAGTGGCACGTTTTTGCAAATGTCTTCTTTACACACACAGGCCCGGCCCAGGTGCCTGCTGTCCGGTCCTGCCTCCGCTTCCTTGCGGCCCCCACCTCTCCGACCCCCGCCGGCCCGCGCTGGACTACACATCACGGC